CACTACTTTGAATTTAGTGCAGGAACGGCTAGTTCCTTAATTTTTGAATGTAAGACTTCTACGCGTGCTTGTATTATTGCATACAAATCTCTTTGGACACCGATGGCCTGACAGCTTATATAGGGAGATAAAAGAAACTAAGCATGACTTAATACCTTGCCACAGCAAACTGAATTAGTGTTAACATGTTTACATCAAAAATAGTGGGAAAATGGTGAAAGTCCTGGCAAGATCTTAGCAAACTGTGTGAAGCAAATATATACATACTCTGTGTGTGTGCGCGCGCGCACCTATATCTATCTTCTTTTCTTTCTTTCTTTTTTTGCATGCTGCCTCTCTCTTCCTCTATATATGGCAGATGTTTAGCTTCTAAAAGTATTGTTTAAACTTTTAAACTTGAGAAGTGTGAATAAATGTTCAGAAGAGTAGACCAGATGACCAGCTATTAGAATATAAGTAAAAAGATAAAACAAGGATTCAAAAGAATTGTTTTGAGAATTCCCAATCGAAGTAATGGAAAATTTCCTTTAATAAGAAGCAGATTTTTATAGTGATAATTCCTTATGAATTCCATTCAAATATGTAACTCTGCATATGATATTTCACAGTAATATTTGTAGCTAACCCTGAAATCTGAAAAGTTGCTACAAGACCCAACAGCTAAAAGCCACCAACCTGAAAGCCTAAGGACACTATGGCATCGTGTTTATACCAAGCGGCATTCTGCCCTATAGGGTCCCCCAAACCCTTAATGTTCTATTCAGAATCCAGCTAAATCGTTAAAATTGAAAAGTGGAAAGACCACAGTGGTTTTGGGAAACAGAGTTAGCTTCACTCTGTTGCAAAATAGCGCGGAAAGAGGGCAACCTCTGAAAATAAAACATCTCCGAGAGTTACATATACTTTGTTGGAAATAAACTTTCTTCTGCCGTATTGTAAACTTTGCTGGAGTTTAGCTCCACCCTTCCCCCTGCTAATTAATGGGGGTGGGGAGTGGAAATCATATACACAGAATGCAGTGCATATTTACATATGATAGACACAAACTTACCTTTGCAATGTTAAAAGATAAATAATGACTTAATAAAAACCAAGACACCACAACATGGCAGGCGTCGTTCGTACAAAACACTGGAATGCAATGCAATGTAGAGCATTCGCTTTC